CCAGTGTCCTGAAAAAGAAAACGGTTGAGAACTTCCAATCAGATATAGTAAGCTCTGATGATGACCAGGTCCAATGAATTCAAAGGAAGGGCAAAAAGAGTTTCGGCTTACGCGTTTGGTACCGATCCGCGTAATCGCTAAAGTGTAGTCACATGCGCTCAACTTCCACCAGCACGACAGCACTAGCAGATTCGCAGTCTGACTGAGCACTGAGAGTACAACGTACGAATGGTTTTATCTATTTGGCTGGATGTACGAAACACGCGCACGAGTTCTGATGCCCTAAGTTGTTTTCATGTACAAAGTACTATAATGCCACCTCTGAGTGACTGTACAAAACAAAAGCTCAGATATGGCTCATGCAGTATATGAGTACTTATATTAATGGGTGATCTCCATTGCAGCTATCCTTTGTAGCGCCCGTGATGGGAGCAGGAGATTGCAAGTAACCGGCGAGTTTCAGTCTGAGAGAAACGAACTCGAGCGGTCATATCATGAATGTTGCCGGAAAACAGAGCGAGAATATTTGGTATAAGAGACAAAAGAGCCCAAGTGCAACAAAAGAGATGTGCGCTGTGTATGCAGCAACAAACAGCAGGAGGATTGGAGTCTGAACAAACCTTGAAAAGCACACACGGGTAATCGGGGTTGAGTTAAAATAAAATAAACTGCAAATAAACAAAGCCAAAAAAAACAATGTGCTGCAGTAAGGAAGAGGGAGTTGGGAAAACACAGACGTTTGGGAGTGGTGCATCTTAACAGGAAGAAGAGGAAAACTCACGTCACTTCTCATCTAAAATTTCGGAGTGGAAAGGACGGGCCGCATAATATTCACGCATAAATGGAGACTGTGCTGGGGTTAAGACTGCTACTGCGGCGATTTGGCTCTTATAATTTGCGTATATTTGTGATAGTACCATCAAGTAATCTTTGAAAATGAACCGCGTACTACGCGAACTTATCAAGGATTCGACACTAAGCCGTTAATAGGATGCAGATTAGACAGCGCCGTCCCCAAATCCATTTTTGTCTATTTGCACAATTCTGCATTTCTAATTGTGATGTTTTATAATATCTGCAACATCTATTGTAAAATGCTAAAAACGCATCCATTTAGGTATAGAGAGCATATATTGACTTGGACTACTAGTCCTCACACTCAGCAACCATCCAAGACCAAGCAAACCGATCAGCGGACGCGGAATGAGCGTGCACCGGATATTACTGGAGGGCTTATCTACACATTAAGAAGATGTATTCAGACGTGCTATAAATTGACGGCCCAAATCTAGAGCCTGGAGGATTCGGAGTCTTTAGATGTCCAAATTAAGGTTGCATCCATCAGCGGTTAAACAAGAAAGCCTAGTTAAGAGTTGAGACAGAAACGTCATCGTCAGTGTAATCCATTTACTTGTCTTGCTATATATATAGCCATCTATATGGGAGGCTGAAGAAGGTGGTGATCAGGCATACGTAGCACGTGCCCGAGCCAACGCAACTTATTCAGTGCTGTGTTGTACTAAGGAACTAGGTTGGTTATCATTACTTAGTACTTGCCTACCCACATCATCGTTGCGGATATTCTGGTGCCACCCGACACCAGCAATACTCCCGCAGACTTGAAGGCGTCGCACATCCCCGAAACCGAGGGGGGTCAAGTCTCACTCCCATAGAGTAGAACGGTTCTTACTGTGGACTTGTAAACACGGCCTTCTAGACGGACGGAAGCTCCTTTCCGAAGCCGAAGATGTCGCAGATCCAAGAAGACAGCTCCGGCTTTTGCAATACGTGGAGAAATTTTAGTGCTTATGCGCCCATCGTTGCTGATGCAGCTGCGAAGGTAAATGAATTGATCAACTCGCTATCAAGGGTCACCAAGTGGCAGATGGTCCAGTAACAGCATTTTGCACTTTGACGGTGCGGAGCGCATGCCAAATAATGGGACCAATCTAGAGAGGCTATTCAGGGTTGATTGCGCCACCCCAACATTGTTAAACACCAAGCCAGTATCGTCCGCATAATCAAGACCAATTAGCTTTTCACCAGGCGGCAGCTCAACGCCTACAACGTGAGGCTCCACTCCATGATGGCGTCCACGAGGAAGTTGAACAAAAGTGTGGAAACTGGGCAATCCTGACGAACGCTACTTGTTGTCCGAAAAATATGCGATAAATCACCACAGACCCTGATGCGGACTGTCTTATTCGAATACAGAGCACGTAAAATGGGAACACATTTCCGCACAAGTATCTCGAACCGAATGGATCAATCCACTTAATCGAGGAACATAGCTATTGTCGGTCTGCGCGGCGCTCCTCTAGCACCTGCCATAGAGTGAATCTATAGTCTATACGACCTCGTCCTGGGCGGAAGCCTGTCTGCTCTTCCCCAATATGCGATTCCCGTTCCGCAGTGAGGCGATGAACGAGAATTGGGGTCGGTTATTTTGTCTCCACCGGCGTTAAACACAGTCGGTGGGATTACTGTTCTTGTATATTGCCACTATAATCGATTTACTCCAGTTATAGCTCATTAGTGTATGACGGGATAAAATGTAGCTTTGCAAGACCCACAGGATGGCAAATGCAAAAAATCAAAATGTCCTTACTTGGAACTTGAAATATCAGTAGTCTGGAAGTGGCAATTTATCATGCCGTTGTGTGGCGTTTATTATTTATGTGACAGGCTAATTCTCGTTCGAACGTCGCGATTTTGGGTGCGGTCACCACATGTGGTGTCAATGCATCTCAGAGTGAACAGATTCTGGGATAGTAAAAAATCTGTGCAATCCAAACGGGAGTGTTGAGTTATCAGTTTTATGCCGCGGACACGGCAATATTCGTAGGGGGCTAGGGTCAGTAATGATTTACTTAGATGTTTGCTTTCTCTGTGTGAGAAGGAGGTTTCCGCGAAGCCGTCAGTATTCCGTAAACACCGATTAAACGATGGCGCAGTTCATAATTGAGACCAGATAATCTACGTGTTGCCTTGGTTGCTGTTTTTTAGGGCTGCTCCAATAGACGAATGTTTCATACAACCATATACTTAATGTGAGGACGAATATACGAGTTAATCATCCGTCATTCAAAGAGTATCAAGTGCTCGCCTCAAAAGCCTTAAAGTCAATTTCGTCACGGTAGCGGGCGGAGGACAGATACTTGCAGCACACCACTGGAGATTCACAGGCTTTCAGAGTGGGTGTCGCCGATTCTCACCTTTTCATTACTCTCCTCAATCGCGAACGGAATACAATTAGAAATCAAATAGAAGTGAACAAGGTATTTTGTCCCCATTTGGGTTCCACGTGTTCACTTCTTTTTGATTCTTACCTAGATTGTTCTGTCGTATCGGTAAACTTCCAACCAGATGAGCAGAGAACCGATGATTCCCTAAGCAAAAAGATTTCGGAGGACAACTAAGTGATTGACTCTGTTGGATGCTTTGGGGAACTCCTTTGCCAGCTGCTGTGGTCCAAGAGTCCCAGGCAAAAGCAGGTTGGTGAAACACGATCGTCTGCGTCTGAACCATGTTGAGGATGATTTACAAGCTTTCCAAATTATCACTTCAGTCCCTATGTGATTATCGACTATCACTCTCGATGAAACAGGAAGAGGAATAATAGGACGGTGGTCGACAGGATCCGATCGTCTGTCACTGAAGAGAAGACACTCTCTGTTTGATCGTAGATGTAGAAAAGGTACAACAACGGCAATACAGTCACACCATTTGTTGCTGCTTAGCTGCCATACGATCGTAGAGTTGTTTATGTAGGCTGGGATATTTCCAAATGACCCAACCTAGGGTCAAAAAACAAGTCTTCAATCAACCTAAAACCCAAGACGATTCATAAAAGATGTCATTACAACATGAGCGCAATTCCGCTTTCAATCCAAACATGGGGGTAAGAGACTCGGTTTGATACTCAACCCGTGTACCCAAAAGGACTACCGAACATGGCGCGTTGCGTTGAGAAGGACCTTTGTACCAAATTCTATTGAGATGTGAATGTATAGTCCCGTTCACAGTGATAATTCGCTGATGAGCCGCGACAGTCACATTTTGTACAACGGAGAAAGATCATTAGGTTATGACGATGCAGGAAACAGGTGTCTATTAAAGAGTAGTAGGGAGATTTACTGTGTTTCTATGAAGATTCGTCGCAACTAGACAGCCACTACACATTTAGGAAAGCTTTGTTGTCTAGCTACACCTAGTTGCGACGGATCTTCACAAATACTGGTGTCTGCTAATGAGCTGGAGCTTCAGTCCGATAAGGGGCTGCGTTTCTGAAATCAGGTGGTTCGACATATTTCCGCGACCGCCTACTACATTTAGATGAAGCTCGCATGTGAACAAATGTGGGCCAAGAAGGAGTTTTGCTCACCTGCCCGAAGTTGTACAATGTGTTGTGTGTGAGCGATGGGTTTACTTTAGACAGTAAAAATCGGGCTTGGCTGCCATCGTGCTCCGTCTCTATGTATCGGGGCATGGGGAAACGAGTTTTGAGCAATTCCTCTGCCTCAAACCTCGGTTTGTCCAATATCTGTCTGATATGTGCATACTCCGGCATGTCCTGAGGAGAAAAGATGAATTCAAGAACGCGTTAGTACATTACCACACAAACAACAGACAATAATGAATAAAGGATGTTAGAGAAAGCGGTTGTGACGCTGTGAGCAGTTTTTGTGATAACCAACTATACATGCGCACCGTGTAATGCGTATGGACGTTATTACTGTATTTCAACGAGTGTCCAAATGAAAGTGTGCCAGAAGCTGTCCGGGCGTGTATCAGCGAAAGGGACGTGCTGACTACTATTCGGACAACTTACTCAACCAAAAGGCGCGAATATGAGATCGTGAATCAGCTGGAAGCATTACTAGTTACATTGGGTTGTTTGCAGTTAAATAAGGAGTAATGAATGAATTTCGCCCGTTTTAATGGAAGCCATCAACGTGAAACCCAGTCACCGGATCACCGAATGAAGCTTTTTTCGATTAGCAGATGAAGTGAACTCACCAGATAACCCGCTTTTTTCCACTTGGCTATGGTATCACCTTGGTAGATGAGGATGTGGAAGAAACTATCCATGAGAAGAACACGATCTGGTTGCAAACTGCTGGTGTCTAGTAACACTGGTTCCTCCGTACCCTCCAGACTGAATGAAGTTAACGAAGGCTGAATCATTAACAACGAATTTGAACAGTCTTCTTTGTTCAAAATGTGCCTAAGAAATGAACATGAAGAAAAAAAACAAAGCTATGACAGGTGGGCGGGCTTGTCTCCAGTTCAGGTCCACTTATCCTGAAGCGATGCGAACGATTTAAATCATACTAGCTGGCGACAACTTTTATGGTGGGACACATACTTTAGATTTTATTTTATTCAATGGGGGTTCTCTCCTTTTCCTGGACGTCAGCATCACAAAATGTTACGCGTTTAAGTGGCTTACCGGCAATGCGGTAAAGGGTTCAAGATTCACCGGGAGGTTACAACAACACGGACTCGATACTCATACGCCTCGTTTGCAGTATGTGGAATGGATATTGTGTTATACCACCTATTATGTCAGATAATCTGTAAACTATGGGAATGCATGGTGGTGCGGTGCGAAAAGCGGCGCACTCTGCATCGTTGCAACATAAAATAAGGGACACAGGGGGAAGCAGAGATGAATGTGCACGGATACTGTTATCGCTGATAACATTGTCTCATTCTGCGACATGGCAACCATGAATAAATGGAAATTATATGGTGAAAGGAAAAGAGTGAGTAAATTAAAAGCTATGGCTACAGACATCTGAAGTGTTTGCATTGATCACGCGAGATGCGTTATCTTTGGTTTGGGTAGATTTTTGCGCAGGTTTCTCCGCCAGTGGAGAAGTGAAGATGCCGATGATGACAGCGGTGTACCACCTCCCTCAAGGTGTCAGCCAACTATCAAGTGCTTCAGCCATGGAGAATAGGAATGACGAACGAGCCACACTTGACTGGTGGCAGCGTTTGTCCCGACGGGCCTCAGGCAGAAGCACCAAGGTACAACCATATTGACAGAGAACAGCGAGCACGAGTAGTGAATATGCAAAAAAAAGGATTTAGAGGGCCGCAAGCAAAACAACCGTTGGCGGTGTGACCGTCGGTGATGAGATTACAATTAATTGGGATAATTCCAGTGGGAAAAATTGTTTGAACTTAGTCCCCATACACCGATGCGGAGGAAGAATGATGGCACATTCTTATGACTCGGCATACAGATAAATTGATACAAAGATAGACTTAGGTCTACAGCGAATACGAAGATACCGGATTCAATTGGCACCCTACGAAGTAACTCGCACCAGCAATGTTGAGCGATCTGAAAAACCGACAAGAAAGTCAGGCTTCTGTCATCAAATCAATTGTCCTTAATTTAGAGAATGTTGCGATCAAAGGTGTCACGCCCAAATGAAGGCGATCACAGTGAACACCAGTCGGAAGGATGATCTCTTTAGCTCCATGCCTATTTATGCGCACACTAAATGTAAACACATTTTCGCAAGCTGTTAACGTGATCACATATGACCGTATTATTTATGTACTTTGCTTAATACTCACATTAGGAATTCACGTCGCATAAAATGATCTACTGGACATGTTGCAGGTAGTGACCACGAGACAATAGGACTTATCTTCGGTATCGGAATATATACGTCACGCCACAGCCGCTCAAACAACGTTTGCATCTGGGGGGGGGGTATTGGACACATCTCCAACGCTTTACCTGATCTTCATTTTTTTCCTCTTAACAATTCCAACCATCAAGATGTAACCCACCTTACCCCGTAACATAAACATGCTACCAATGGCTTTAAGAATACAGACAAAGGTTGACTCATATTGACGGTGTAAAAGTTATTAACAAGATTCCACAAAATTGTATACCTCGCAATAATATTAAAGTCAAACGAATGGACAACTATGACCACGCATGCATGTCTAAACGAGTGTGAATCATAATTGACAGCGTCCGTTCTGCTTGTTACTGTGTCCCACATGTGGAAAACCGCAGGATGCTTGCGCTTAATGAGAGATGGACTATGATTGGCTAGCGCTGCACCATCGGTAGCTTCATCCACACACACCATATTCGGTGTAAACCCATGAGGAATAAGACCGGGAAACAAGTGAATGATAGTCAAGATGCATACAACAAAGTCAGCGCATACTTGTTCAACATGCACAGAATTCCTGTCGAAGTTGCGAATCAACCGCGTACAGAACATCGAATGGTAGATAGAACCACTAATTGAGCCTAGCACAGGCGCAAAGGCTGTACACCCGCAGTGGGGGTGTATTCATAAACCACAAGCAAGGACTGGGCATTGCTCACAAACTTAGGTTTGTCGAAGCCTCAACGAAATTGCGGGTGAAATCCACTCGATATAAGCAGGTGCAGTTCGTCGCCAGAGTCGCTTAGGCATGAAGACGTTGGTGATCGCGGAAGAAGAGCGGGAGGCTGGACAGCATCAAATGACCTACGAACGCCAGTGTTTGGCCAATGACTCTGCTATGTAACCGATTTAATCCACCAATTCTATGTAAACGGCTGACGCGAGTACGCCATTTGCTAAGTGGACTGGAACACACATCGCCGTTTCTTGTTGCAACGTTACCCATGGAGTAGTCCAGGAATCAGAAGGGCAACCTAGTTTTGACATACTTGGGGTTTGAATACCTTGCTTTCCACACTATCGAAGGAGTGGTGACTTGGAGATGCAGACAAAACCGAGGTGTGAAGTGTCACCCACTGAGGAAGACACGAGATGGCATCATTTTGCAACAGCCGACTGAGCACTGACATGACTCATGTCCTCAAAAAGCGGAAGTCAAATAAAACTGACATGAAGGCAGTCAGTACTGCGCCTCGCAATTTTATAAGAAATGTGTTGTCTGCACTGAGTAAGGAAGCTTTGGCCCACTTGCCCAAACAATCATCTATCACAAGAACTCTTCCGAGTCACCGAAAAAGCGGCCATTTGTTTTGTCCAACAGGCAAGAACTTTGCTATTCCTGAGCAGTACTCCAAACTAATTCTACATGACTCAAGTGTGGATGATCCAAAAGGGATTCACGTGTTAGGTGACAAAGAATATAATTGCACTGTACACAGATACCATATACGGGGACGAAACTTTTGATAAAGTTCCCAAAATATCATATCTACCGTATGCGTGGTACGCTAATGTGGGCAAGTTATCCAGCTTACCTTTACCTTCTGTTGCAGACCTATATAAGAATGTTTGAAATAATGAAACTACTGTTACCAGATATATGCTAACAAAGGTCTAAGTCGATTTTGAGAAGGCTTCTATTAACGCTGCGAGATCCGCATTTCCCGACACAGTAATTAAAAGATGCTGGTTCCACGTGCCAAAGTATCATCACAAAAGTCTGCAAAATCGGTCTACAGAGTGTTTTTGAAACGGATGTCAAAATTCAACTACAGCTAAAGTCGCTGGCTGCACTTTTCTTAATTCTAGTTGCCGAAGTGAGAGGCGTTTTGATGACCTTGCTAGCACATTTCCAAATGAAAAATCATGTAATGCGGTGCTCAATTATTTCTTCTCTACTTAAATTAAAGGGGCAGCAGGCTGAGAACCGTAGTTCCCACTGCATATGTGAAATAATCACGATAACGTTCTAGTGAAGTGACCGAAAACCACCAATCGCTTTGGATTCCTTATTCCACTGCAGTCATCCAAACGTATAGTGTTTGTTCGATGAACTACAGAGTGACTTGGCCTGCCACAGACTTAGACTAGCCAATGCGCGTGCAGATCGCATTGGGCTGAGAAAGAAAAGTTATGATGCGTTGCAATCTGCTGTTGCTTCATGTGTTCAAGATTACGAGTCAACGGAAAGAAAAAAAAGGAGAAACTCATCAGCAGTAAGCTGGCACGCCGTGCCGACGCCTCGCGGCCACCACCGGTCACACCCGAGTTGAGTATACCGCAAGGGCGCCCGCCACTACGCGGATTCGAACCGGTGACCTAAGGATTGCAAGCCAAGCGTGTAATCCTTTCGGCCACCGGCCGACATGAATCAACGGAAGACTGCAGAAATACTTCCGAAGGTTAGCTAACTTGCAATAATGGCATGTGTTGTCCCTGCTGGTGTTAAACCTAACAGTGAGCTATTTGCGCCCAACGGCAAACTGTACTCGTACGAGCAAAGTATCCTTATATTGCAAACTACGTTTGCAGACATTTGCGTCTTTTTCAACATGACATTTTATGTGTGATTAACCCGTTCTCGCATTACGTAAATGGGCATTTTCTACGTAAGCATTTCATTGATGAAAACACAGTCCTGATCAACGGATTAATGAATAGGCACGGGTACGTGTTGCTATATAAGAGGTGGCCGCTTTCAAAAGGCACTCGTGATTCGTGCGTCGCAATTACACGAGGAATCGTAAGCATTTCAATAGCCTTCCATGCTGCCCCTCATATCGGACTCAAATGGATAAGTGTTTTCGCCCTTACCTGGGTATTTGCTGGGAACCTTAGAAAACTGGTCGCTTATTAGGTTTTCGTCAAAACCGTCACAAAGGTGACAGCCGTTGCAAATTCACGTGGGGGGAATGATTGTAATGACAACTTATGAGTACTTGTCAGGACAGTTTCCTGCTCCCAAAGTTCCCTTAACAACCCGTGTAAATCATCCGCAACAGCAGGTCCCCCGAATTTGTGGAGAGCTGGGGGAATTCGATATGCACCAGCGGCCTTATGCAATTTCAACAGTCTGATCTCACGTTCGACTTCTGCCCGTGAGGGCGGATCTAAGGAGACGGCCCATGGTGTAGGGCACTCAATGCCCGAAAGAGAAAGCGAGAGCAGACTGGTTAAACTGTCTTGCAGTGTTCGGCCCAACGCTCCAAGCGTTTTGACAAGCCATTGATCGGCTTTCCACTCTCGCCGCGTATTGTCTCGCTAACACGAGGTCTCCTGCTGCCTGTTTCCCGTATCCGATGGAATAACTTACGATGATTACCAACGCCAGCAGCTGTTTCCGTTTCCGATGCACGATGAGACCACCAGGCTTCATGATTTCTCTCTGGGCTGGCACGCAGTTTTGCCCTAAGATTTTTGCGAGTCTCATTGTATTCGCTTCCAGCCGGAATACGTCGACGAGCATCCATAAGTTCCAGAGACTTCGTAGAGACCCAATGTCTAGGTTGGCAATTTGATTTGCCACATGAAGACATACCTGCTGATAGTAACGTTTGACGAATATGCGACCAGTGATCTTCGATGGTGTTCAGTGAACGCTTACTCAGCCTAGATGCCAGCGTAGTTTGGTACGCATTCAGAACACCTGGCTTCGCCAGCTGGCTGGTGTCAATGAGCTCAAAAGCTACGTTGCGGACGTCCGCCGAAACGCACCCGCAGGTCAGCACACACACGAGCGTGATCGGAGTCCACGCTGGTGCTCCACATCGAGCGACAGTTCTGGAGGCATCCTCTCCAGTGGCGCGATGTGTTCGATTTGCGTCCATGGCTGGCCCGAGACTGGTGGGCGCAAAGTCATGCTTCTGCGGATGCTGTGTCGAAAGTTTGTGCTCGCGAGGAAGAGACGAGCATCTTCAAACAGGTGTAGGAACCGCTCACCGTTATCATGGCGGGAGAGTACACCATGTCGGCCGCCCAGATGAAGCTTATCAGAGGATAATTTTCCGATTTGGGCGTTTAGATCACCAGCAAGCACCACAGTATCCGTGCTTTTTCTGTAACGAAGGAGATCGTGAACTTGCTGATAGAAATCATCTTTCACCGAATCAGGGCTGCAGTTTGTGGGGGCGTAAGCCGTAATAACAAACAGGCACCGTTGGTCCCCGCGCGACTTCGAAGCTTGGAACGAGCCAGTCAAACTAACGGCGCACATCCGGCTGTTGACTGGGATCCAATCAATCAGGGCAGCTTCAGCCCGAGTGCTCAAAACAATGCCGACGCCAGCTTGACCGGCATTTGAAGCTACATCATCGCCAGACAAGTGCAATGAGAATGTGCCGCTAGTGTCGCATGTGGGGGATTGCAGAGTAAGCACGGAGCTCGGATCTTGCAGGCGGGTTTCTGATAAACAGCAAATAGCGATCGAGGGTCTCGAGTATTCGTGCAGGTGCTGCTTGCTGGCCAATCTGTAGCAAAATGCGCACGTTGAGGCATGCCAGTCTTAGCGAAGCTTGAGGACTCCAAAGGGAAACGGATGAACTGACGTTGTCCGCTTGGTTGAACATGGACTTGTCGACTGGATTGGAGCGACGCCCTGCGATTGTGTGAGTCGAAACTAGAAGACAAGCGACTACTGAAGCAAGACGGGGGGGGGGCGAGAATCAGGGGCTTGAAAACAGAAGGAGAAAAGTAAATTTGGGGCGGAACTCTAAGGATGAAAAAGCGCAAGAGGAGAAATAAGAAGACGGTAAGGCCTGAGCAGTAGTATCCAAAGCCCTATCCAGCCTGCTCGATGCACCGAATAGGGCAGCGTTGATTATAATTTGCGGTGGCCAGAGCATCACGAAATTGTTCGAGGAAAAATTCATAGTATTGCAGTGGGCAGGATACTGCCAGATTGCCCAGTTCTAGACAGGAGAAGAATTAGGGTTCTCAACCAAAACCTTTGGTTCAAAAACCTTACCGCAAGGTAGCGGGGTTTTGACACTGGGCTATAGGGAGCCCGTTTTATGAAATAAGGAGCCACCCTCACTCCAACCCGCAACCTGGAGGGCCAGGAGACTGAGTTTGTCTGGCCTCTAACCATTGACCAATCTGGTATGAGTGGCTCTGAAGGTGCAATAAGCACCACACAGCATAGCTCAATGGAGCACTGAGGCACACAAACCATCGCACCACCTTAAGGTCCAGTCTCGTCGCGATGGTCCAAAGCTAGGTAACATTTGTTTAAGATATAATAAACTACGTGATCCGGGAGTCGGAGCTGCCAGTAGTCAGAAAGCTACCCAGGTTCGTGCGTGAAGGCGCAGGCACATACACTACGCAAAGGCCGATGGAGAGAGGGGGAAACAGCCACTGCCCTTAACTGACGTCCACGATCAAGAAGAGCTGCAGTGGCATCCATTGCTTAGACAATTCAGTTGCATTAGCATGACTACAATGGGGTCTGAACATCGTCAAGATGCCTCACTCTTCATTTCTTTTTAGCGGATTGTTGCTTTTCTGCATAGAAGATAGTGTGGCCAATTTGGTTTGCAAAACGTCAAATTTAAAGTGAAAATGGTATAGCTATGACTGTTTTTATTGTCATATTATAGGAATTGCAGTGAACACTGCTGATAGATAGGGGTCAGTACTGCTGCGCAAAGGCTGTTGCGGAGACGAAGTAGCTTACCGATAGTACGCGGTCTCATCCGGGCTGTTGTTGAATACTTGGAGAAACTGTGATCGTCGCATGTGGAAGAGAAATTGAGGAAAGAAGGAGAACTCATCGGGCAGACGGAAGGATGCAGGATCATCCTTCCGGTAGTCACCAAATTTGTGACACAAACGGATGAGTTGACGATCCAGCCAGCTGAAAACGGAAGGGGGGCAAATTCATGACATAAGAATGGGTATCCCCAGCAACAAATTCATGCTTATGCTGATATTATAGTTTAATAGGTTGGTAAAATGATCGGAAAGTGTTCTGTGTTTCGAACAGGATCGCTGCAGAAGGTATCTGAGGGATAGTAAGACCGAATCCCACATAGACACAAGAATATTGGGCGTTAGAATGACAAAGTACACATATGTGTGCAACACGAGTTCTGCACATAAACCACTAACAAAACAGTGGGTGATTCGCTCTAGATATGCCAGATTGAATAAGTAGACACCAAGCCTAGTGGGCTTGGCTAGAAGTGTAACCAGTGCGTGGAATTATGTCGCACAGACTTCATCAACGAGACTAGAGACAGACGGGTTGCAGAGAGCTACGAGGATTCATGCGAAATTAAGCACTTAAATACCGATGAGTTTCCTCCTTTTGGGGACGCATCTGCGGATTAGAGAGAACAAATGCCGTCACGAGATCCCGTTCGGGAGGGAGGAGGAATAACGACGGTTCATAGTTTGCCACCTTGATTTCAACCAGTGAGGCCGCTCTCAATCGTGTACTGGGGAAAAAGGGGGTAACGATCGGTTGTCCTCAGTCTAACTGGCGTTCACCACCCTCTATGGTTTTGCTGTTCAAAACGTAACAAATTGAATCACAAAGAGTGTGATCACTGGCTGTGTGGGCATGAGTGCAGAGTAGGATCAGTATTTACAATTCAAATAAGGCAACAGATCTCGTAAAGGTGCATGGTGCAGCGGATCAAAGAGGCTTTGGTTATGTTAGACTGAAAGAAATGATAATCGTAATTCGTCTTATCCACACAGTTAGTCAGCGGTAAGTGCTGTTTCGAATGTAATTGGTATTTCCGTTTCACGAACTGGGCTTAAGTGGTGAATATGAGAATTTTCCGGTGCAGTCGAGAAATCAGTAAAGGCATTAGATAAGGCATTATATCAACTGCAGGTAGCTATAGGCGGATTTCGATGATAACAAACCAGTATGGAAAGGATACACTCTCATATCGCCGGAAGCACTGCTTCTTGTGCTTTTGCCGATCGACCCAAGCTCAGTTTGTAAACTCCCTTCAGCAGTAGCGGAATTTTGGAGAAGTGGTGAAGCCTAGTTTATCTGGTCAAAAGCCATCGTCCCGAGTAGGATGAAATCAGAGGGCATATGGACAAGCGATCAGCGCATGAATTCGTACCACTAGGTAGGAAGTCGAGCGGCGGCTCAATCATTTCCTCCGAACCACTGGGGATGTAGAACGGTAAATCAATTTATATAATTATGACAGTTTATTCTTGTTAAGAGTCCTCTTGATCGAACTGGTCAATTAAACTCTGACGTAAATCTGTCGGAGGAAGCTGTGTCTGTCCTGCGTTTTCACGAATGTTGTGAGAAGTGGGTAAGTAGCGGTTAAGTGTAACTTCGAAATGTCATGTTTCACAACCACATACGATGGCATGAAGTTGCCAGTGAATAGAACTTCCAGTTTGTGATATCTGGAAGGGATGGATTTTTCCTGACTATCGTGCGATGCGATATGAGTAGTTGGGCAAGTGGATTGCCTGCAGTATGAAAGTGTATCTCGAGAGAAGTCCCTTTGAAAAGCCAGACATGGGTCTGCTCAGCAAAGTTACAGATGCGGCTCACTATAATAAATATCCCACAAATAACTGGGCGCCAAATGATACTCTTAGTTCAGTTGATGGAAAGAATAGAAAGCTTTGTCGATGCAACAGTTGCCAAGACTAAGGACAGCTAGTTATATTCACGTGAGCGAGCCCAGATCATGGAACGAACACCGGGCAGAAAAGCCAAAGGCAATGATAATAACCATAATAATGTGTCAGCTGTACGCCGTAACGGCGCTTCGCTGCCGCGCGACCACCAGCAGTCGCGCGCGGGCTGAATATCCAGCGAGGACGCCCACCCCTACGTGGATTCGAACCGGGGATCTTATGGTTGCAAACCAGGCACGCAGACCACTCGGCCACCGGCCGACAAACGTGATTGCAAATGTACCGTAACACGTCGATGCTATCCGCGGTTTCGGCGCGAAACATGGCCATACGTGCCAGGAGCACTGTGGCCGCCTCCTGATCGAAGCCACTGACCAAATGTGGCATTTGAGTGCTTGAATCGACCCAATTACGGCAAGCGGTGGAGACGCGAAGTTTTCGTTGGCCGTTGGCTTGTTGGTACTGTGTGATGAATTGTACGTAGCCACGGCCACCGGCGGGTAGTTGGGTCGGACCGGATACCGAACCAGCAACTTCGAAGAAGATTCCCAGTGTCGTAGACGGCGTAAATCCGTTCAATCGCCACACAGAGGTGCGTCCAACACCGATCTCCTGGTCACCTGTGTTAGCAGTCTTCACATTCGCCGAGAAGCAGGGGCCAATGCAACCCGAGACCTTGAGCTCGCGTGAGGTCTGAAATTGGAGAGAGTGCAGACGAATGTAAATCGTGTCGCGGTAAAAAAAATATGCATCTCCCAAAACATGGTTAGAGTGTGAAATATCTTCAAGAAACACTCGTAGCTTCGTGGCCCTACAAATAACGGAGCGAACACTTCGCTTTAACAATTCAGATTCGAACGAACTGACAGGTCACAAGGCGGATACGTGATGTTATAATGAGAGTACCGAGTGTCATATCCACTTGAAAAAGCTGAAACACAGGTAGCGGACCCACCTTAACCTCCATTTGTCCGGCGAATCCCAGGAGAAAGTTTCCCAGAGCGTCTTTGTTGAACACACGACGATATGTCTGCTGGAAAAGACTGGAAGCGAAACTGTCTCCCATCACCATGAACCCGCCAGTGTAATTGGTCAAGTACCGCATTTCATGCAGGCCGGTTTGATCAAGGGAGCAACTGAATATATCAACTACATGAAAGTTCTGAGCAGCCCGATTGGCCAGTGCCTCGTAGTGCTGATAAGAGATGGAAGAAGAGGAAATGATTGCACATGGGTCGAAGGATGATTCCTAGTGATACTGTGTACGAATAAAGGAAAGTATTACGGATCACGGAGTTAAAAAGCAAGGTAGAGACAACGTTTTCCAACCACGGAAATTGTTTAACTTAAGTATGCTCGCTAATCACCATCCTATGAGTGTCTTATCATTGCTTATGCAAATGAGTCTACTGTGAGTCTCGAGTCTGAAGCCACCACCCATTCCTTATTTTCTAGGTAAAGAAGAAGCTAGCTTGCGGAACTGCTGCCACATGACGCAAACTAGGTGGTATTGGTTTATTCCGTTCCAATAAAGGATTCAGTGGGATTGTTCCAAGATTTGGTGGGTTCCGGGTTTGCAAGCGTTCTTCTATCAAAGACACAAATGTCCGGTTTAAATGCTGCGACGTGGCGGATGTGACTCATCACCAGATAGTCACTACCCCTTTCTTCACCGTGGTCGAGTATACATGAATAAACAAATCCAGTGAATGGATACCGAAATCGAAGGGATGACCAGGCACATATTCGGCAACCCTCTAAATCAAAGGCTTATGAAGTGAATAGTCCCGGAACCAAACGGGTGCGGTTCCCTACTTCCATGCCTACATGATCATCAACATCAGCAGCACATCAGCCATTTGAACTGATGCTTCGCCGCCATACGATGACGGTAATCCATGTAACGAAGAATAATAAGTAGGAGAGAGGGGGGCCTAGCGCGAAACCTTATGCCCTAAATAAGAATTCAAGGCCAAGGCGCCAACACCTTGTCAACAACATACCGTCACAAACAGCTGTCTATCGTGCAAAGATAAGGCGGCATCCGCGACACAGTTTCCTTTGCGAATTTCAATGCCCAGCGTCATAATCAGCCACTACCTCGCAGATAACTCAGCATTAAACACACTTTAAACAGAGTGTGCTACGTGTGACGGGTGCCGAGTGCTAGTCATGTCTTGTAACGTCACGAGCCAAGCACAAGACGGGTCGTGCGGAAGGCGAGACAGGCCAACGGCACCCAGTTCTGTAATCAGTGACCATTTTTCGCTACCAAGTCAACTTTTGTCCACCTCGATCCTTAAGCCACCCTACATTTGACAGACAAAAAGAACGCCCTCCTCGGCAAGTGGTGACCGGACATAAGTAGTACAACCCAAGTCTACGCAACTTATTCAGTGCTATCTGTTATTCTAAGGAACTAGCCTGACTATCACTGCCTAGTACTCACCAATGCAGATCATCGTTGTGGACAAGCTGGTGCCATCTGAGACCAGCAATGCCTCGCAGACAGCGACGATCAAGACCTGAAGGCGCCTCAGGCCTTCGGATCGAAGAGGCCAACTTTCAATCCCATAGAATAAGACGGCCCACACTCTGGCCTTTCAGACCGAGGAAACCCTTTTCTGAAGCCGCAGATGCCGCAGAGTTAAGAAGACAATTCTAGCTTCAGTGCCATCAGTCTGTGCTTTTGTGCCCAATGTTGCTGATGCCCGAGTTCCTCGCAATCAAGGATGAATGAGTCAATGAGTGGCTGGTGGTCCTGCGACCACACCTTGCACTTGGAAAGCGCGGAACGCATGCCAAATGATGGGATAATTCAGGCAAGACAATATCGTCCGCATAATAAAGACCAACCAGTTGGAGGGTTGTGTGAATAGATTGCGACACGCTATCACATTGTAGACCGCGATTCACATGGTAGTGAACCTTCGTCAATTAGGTCACTGGGACCGTAGCAGAAGCCGATGGAAACTGAGTGTTGCCCACCCGAAAACGCGTAGTGGTGTGCAGTGTTTTCAGGCGAGCAACACCCATTCTGCATTGGCTAAGATCAACTAGCTTTTAACAAAGCAGCAGCTCAACGTCTGCATGGTGAGATTCCGCAATGGAATATTTCATGATGAAGTCCACGAATAAGTTAAACAAAAATGGGGAAATTAGGCAGCCCTGACGAACACCACTTGCTGTCGGGATGATATCTGTTAATTCACCGCAAACGATGATGCTGCCCGTGGTGTTAGAATAGAGGGCACGTAAAATGTTCACATATTTCAAGGGAACAGCTTTCAATTTATGTTGGTCTTTATTGATGTTATTAGAAATTCGGCAGTCCTCTCTTGCATGAAAAAATGCGTTGTTAAAATGCCGCTACAACCTCGACGATTGCAATCCAATCCTCATTTGCTCCGCCAAATCACTATATATTTCCAAGAACCTTTGTCGTTACACTCGATTAAGCTGCAACATTGCTGATCTTAAATATCCATTGATATGAAACCGGCTACCTCATTCCACCGGAAATATCCTCAATATTCAACTTTAAAGCCACAAGACAATACACAGATTAATCGGAATATGATCTGACGTTTGTACACGTACACTTACTTGATCGCAATATAAACATGTATGCTGCCGGGAACATCCGGTGCCCATACTTATTGGCGCACCGCTTGTGGATGTGCTGCACTCGCATCCAAGGTATGAGTTAGTTAAAGTTTTAATCTTCGCTTCACTTCCTTTATACCATCTACTACTCAGTTTTGGAAACTAATCATTTAATGGGACAACGCAGCATCACTTCGTAACCTCCTCAGACTTACATGTCTGCCTTTGTTGGAAATTATGTGGGAAGTTAAAGATCACAGTACTGCATCTCAGCATTTTTGTGTATTCCCACTGCAATGGACCATAAAACACGTGCATCTCGGTGACGATGGGTACACATTTTCTCCACCAGTTCACTTTTAAGATTTCACAGTTGGAACCCTTTAATTACTGCATTTTAGTCCCTTCTCCATACTTACGTGATGTAGCCTTCCTCGGACACCATCTGTCAAGCTAACCGTTGCTGACAGTAACGATCGAAATTTGCACTGGAGCCTGGGGATTTATACGTCGCACTCTCATTGTCCTCGTGCAGGGATGGTACTCTGAATGTGCCACTAACCAAGGACAAATAGCCAGATCGACCGCAAGACGGTGGCACTATTAAGTTTTCCAAATTCCTGGTCCCACTCCTCATAACATACACCCTAGCCTACTTTTACCTTCATCCCTCTATTATGCTGAAGCTATCTCCCTCGGTGACTACCTGTGACACCTCCTGACTCAACATGGTAGCCTAGTGGGAGTTGATGCGCTACATTTGCATCATCGGTGTTAGGTCACTTTGCTCAACATGTGTCACTCGCTGGACACCGTGCTGCACAAGGGGCTTCGGGCTAACCGTTGCCTCGTTATCGTAACTTTGATGTGTTCCTTTGATACGCGGCTCCGAAAATTTCGTATCGATTACGGTAATGTTAAAAAAAGTGTGTAGCATAGGGGGCCATCTATGTTCACCATATATTTAGGTGTGGAAAACAATTTAGAAACGCTCGGGGTTCCAGGCCAAAAATGTTTTGTTGCAACTGTCCAAATGTTGGCTCATTCGTGTAAAGTGAACAATCCCGGCAAGTAAGTGACTAGCGATTAACACGCTGATGTTGATACTACATATTAGTCACGCGAGTGAGTGTACCTATATTTCCCGCTGTTCATCCGTCGTACTGAACTTAGGTGTGCTCAGGAAAAGGCAGGTACTATCGAGATAAGTGGTGGAGGGGCAAAGACGCATGCTAGAATTTGCATTAGAAATGGCCAATCCTCTGGATTGACCTAGAAGTAGGTAAGTTCAACTGTGGTGGTACGGCAGTGCTTTAGTACATATTTCATTAAAAATAAATTCACGCACAGAAACAATTGATTTGTAGCGCAGAATAGCTGCAACCGAGATGTATGAAGACAGATTGTTAGTAAATTGTAAGCGACTAAATTACCATGAAAACCGTAGGCTGCATGGGAAAATCACACGTTCAGCCAACCACCTTATCTTCGCCATCTGCCGGGGCTATTGATACCCATTATATGTTTACCCTCATGCGATTAACTATGTAATGATCAATGTTTTCATTGCAAATTGCACCATGGATATAGAGGTTCACTGTTTTCCTAGCCATGTCTAAGTGGTTCCATTCCAACCCTTGCTGTTAGATACCTTCGTGTCCATACTGTGTAACATGCCTAGGAGTACCAACACATACCAACTTGAGAGATTCTCCAGTCACAGTGGGTCATCCACCGTGTTATTCCTTTCATTTCCCATTGGCCCGAAGACACACTATACCAATTGTTCATTTGTTCTCCGAGCTTAGCGGTTTTCTCGCAAACGTTTCACCACCATGCGAGGTGGCATCCTCAGTGCAGTGATATGTAGCGTGCAAGCTTACTAAATGAATCCTCCATCCATGATCGACCTGCAGGTGACTTTGAACGTGTCAGTGTCGATTTAGGTCCCGTGGGTCCTTTAGGTCCCGAAACTGTGGGTTCGGTATGTGGACGACACTTGCGATAATCAGACGCAACCAAATAACAGTCGCACAACATCTATTGAATAACGCCATGGAAGGCATCCAATTTACAATGGAACTGGAAAAGGAAAGGCAGCTCCCTTTCTTGGATGTATTAGTAACAAGAACTATGGAAGGCGAGCTGCAAACATCGGTCTACAGAAAAGGCACACACACAGACCAAATTCTGAACTTTAACAGCAACCACCCGAAATGCCACAAAGTAAGCTGTGTGCGGACACTGTTTCGCAGAGTGCAAACACACTGCAGTACCACAGAAGCAAAGCAAAAGGAAGAAAAACACCTACTTAAATGTTTCCAACTCAACGGATACCCACGAAGCTTCATCCGAAGGTGTCTGAATCACAACAACGTCAACATACAGCCTACAACAACACCACCACCACCACCAACAACAACAACAGCAGCGGCAACAACAAACACAACAACGACAATGGAGAAACGGGTTGTTCTGCCTTATATGAAGAACATATCGGAAATGGCAGCCAGACTATTCAAACAGCATCATCTCATCGTTGCACACAAACCAACTGCCACGTTGAGAAAAACCCTTTCAAAACCGAAA